TTTATCTTCTAAATTAAAAATATTTTGTTAAAACATATGGAACAAAATTTGTGCAGAATTACACGATCTTTTGAATAATATCTCGAAAAAAGGGCTGACCCCTAAATTAAGGGATCTAGAGGGGCCAAAAATTTTTTCCAGATATCTCAAAAAGTATTGAGAATTTGTAATATATCCAAGAAGCAATGTTGTTCAAAATGCCAAGCTTAATCTAATGAAGTCGTCAAATTGCGTCCAGCGACGTCACTTCCGGTCAAACCGGAAGTAGTCAGAAAATGCATATTTTTGCTGTTCTTAACAAGTTTTTGGGTAACATATATCACAAGAAGCACAAAACTTAATTTTCTGTCCATCGACATCACTTCCGGTCAAACCGGAAGTAGCCAAAAATAGCTTATTATTTAAGGTTTTGATGCAAAATTGAAATTATAAAGTGACTGGAGACGACTAAGCTCATTGCTTTCTTTTTGCTGAAGTCACTTCCGATCAAAATAGGACAGAAGACCTTCTCGTTGCTTTGCAACGAGCTTTGCTCTAGTTAGATAATGTTTTAGTTAATAACTTAAACATCCTTTCGAAGCAAATCAGATTACATTAGGCAAAAAAACTCGACGTTCGTAGTATATATTATAACGAATGATATAAAATGTACCATATTAAAGAATGTATTTTGTCGTCCTTCGTATGGGTGTTTTACTTGCCTCATAAGCATTGTGCATAGTTATATTGAATTCTGGCATATTCATGTTGATACAATCTTGTAAAAAAATATCTTGCATTTGACCAAAAAACTAACATACCTTTGATTGAAGAAATCAGTCTTTCATTGAACATCTTATTCATAACCACTTATTTTTTAAGCTGTCTAATACTTTTTTAAGTTGGATTTTTAAAAATATTAATCGTTTGTTCTTATCAGGTATGGCGTTTTTTAATTTTAAATAAGAAAGGAATTACTCTTGGATTCAAAATGTTATCTATAATTTGAGAGATAATGAAAACACATAAAGCCCTTCACATGACTTTTGATGTTCACGCAAATATCAGAGCAAGGGAGATGGGTTGTTTACAGTGACCAGAAATCCCCTGTAGTCTCGGTTTGACAGCAAGGGATTCCTCATATGTCAGGAGGTCTTACCATGTACTAACATTTCTCATATTTATCACCAATAATCGATGCATGCACAAAAACGAAATAAAATTAATGAAGAACCTTATAAAAGGCCAGATCACTTGAAAGACGAGGAACATTTAATTTTTAAAAATCTCGAACATTTTAAAAGATATTTGATCTTTTTTACGTGTGAGTGGAATGCATAAGCATATTTGTATTTTTCAAACACACTGATTTTGAAAGTAAAAATAGTAGCCCCATCAAAAGTTAATATTCTGGGTTTTTTGAATAGAAAATATTTTATCTCGATTTTATTTAAAGCATTTCCTCTATTCTTGATGAAGTATCGAAGATTAATTTGAAACAGATGTGACAAATTCTATAATGTGTCTTCATTTTGGAGTAAACTCAGATATATTGAGACGACATATATATGTGAATAACTATTTTCATTTGATTTAATGTCATAAATTTATATGAATATCGGGTTAAAGCCAAGCAAGAGTGTCTCCTTCTCCTGTAAAAGTTTAAAAAAATGAATTCTGCTTATCTGAACAAAAAAAGTGTTCGGTTATAAAGGGGCAAATTTATTGCCCAGCTGATTCCAAGCATCTTTTCAATACATTTATCAGCTTCAGAATACTCATACCTACAATCATAATTATATTTAGATAAGTATATCTGAAGATAATTTATAACCTTATATGAAAATTTATAGGTCCATTTTTTTATATTTAAAACATTTTAAACGCTTGCTTTCTAACTTATCTTAAGAAATGATCAGAGAAAGCATAGAAAAGTGATATATCATAAAGCTATAGTTGTTTGAAAAAAAAATTGACTTTTCAAATCTAAAAAATTAGAATTCATATTTTATATTTTATTCTTGAACATATAAAACTTGCACGCACAATATATCAGGAGTATACAGCAGGTGACGTACGCGTTTTGTTGAGAAGTAAAGCTAAAAACTTGGATTACCATTTACCTTCTCCCGGATCTGATGTTTTAGAGGTCCATGTTTGCTCTGATCCTATTTTGTGTTGTTTAATGGACTTTTGATTTTTTTATACTGTTCGTTATCTCGATATATTTCATTTTTGGACCCTTCAATATATTTTAATTTTGTAGGTAATTTATGACGTTCTGGGATCAAGAATAGGTACAGTAAATTAACCACACACTATCAACTGGAATGTTCAGGTATTTCAAAACGGAAAAAATATCTTGTGAAAGGGAAAGGGAGCTCGGGGTATACTAGTAAGTTGAATAACCTAATGGAGATCGAAATCGAGTTCTTCTGAAATGTAGTTGATATATGTGCATTACAAACAACCAATGTAGGAACAAACTTTGGAAGTTTATGAATTGTTTTCTAAATATGGAAAGGACTTTTACAAAATTTCAATCAGTTGATATACCTGTCAACATCAAGACATTTTTAAAGGAGAAAGAAAATGTAAGAATGCTATTTGATGATGTGCATCTATTTATTATCAAACTGATAGATTTAGATTTTGATAGATCAAACTTCTACATTATTGGTGTAAACAATACCGAAGTATAAAAAAAAAGTTCTTATTTATATTTAAATATTTAATGTGATGAATATCATTGTTTCTCCTGCATATTTGTATAAACTGCGCCTTGTCCTAGTAATTTTCTTAAAACTACAAGAAAAACTCTATTGTTCGTGCGGCCCCTGCAGGGGAACTTTTTCTATCTAGAACTAGCACTTGTAATCATGTATAGGGATTTATAAAAACATAACATCTAAAAAGACTAGCTACACTGCCATATATATGGAATGTGTCGATTTGAATCTGATAGTGCTGCCCAATGCTAATCTCTTCAGCTTATATGGAACTGAATTGAAGATTTACTTTTCATATTGTGCGCAATCGTTTTTTTTACCTTACTTTAAAAGACTGCACCAAAAATCTTTACTTTTTGTCAGGACGTTCAAGACTGCAGTTTTTTTTTTTGCACCCCAAGCGTTAAATGTTATGATGAACAAAGTCAGACATGTGATTTACTTTTTGGTGTTGACAATCAGTTGCTTGAGAGGTATGGTTTATGAAATTTTGTTTCACTGTTAGTTAAAAATTATTATTTTTATAAGAAAAGAAGTAAAAATGAATAATATCTGAAAAAGAATTTAAAATTTACATAAATTTAATTAAAGTATGCATGAAAACTAAGTGTATAGTAATTAATTTATAAGCGAGATTTTTGGTTCCTTAAATTAACAATGATTTTCACAATCAAAAACACTACTTAGGGAATAACTATCTTCTAATTTATTAGCCAATCAAAACGTGTTTTACAACACAATTGCATTACAATAGAAACTGGATGGTCATGTGCAAAACAATTCATTGAAAATTAAAATAAATGAATGAATTAACTGTACGTTTTTTCTGTAAAATCAACTGAAATAAGAATATATCTTTTGTCCATTATTAAAAAAAATAATTGTGAATTTTTACATTTGTGAAAATTTTAAAAGAGCCAGGAATTTAGATATTCATTTATTTCATTTGAAATTTTTTTCAATTTTAAAAAATATTTTCAAAGTACATGGAATAAGCAATCATATATTATTAGAGAAGCATCAAGTGAATATTTTTCTTAATTTAAAGAGGTTGTATGTTGAAATCGAAAATACAACAAATATTTACTTTCTAGGGAGGAAAAGAACTTTTTAAGACCTCATAAACTTCTGTAAACCAACTTTTATTCGCGTGCAAGAAATTTTCACGAAGTTCGCGACATCCTCGTCATCGCGACTATTTCTCGCCGCGAACAGGTACTTAAAGTCTCCGTGTCTGTTTACAACAGATCCAAAAAAGCTTGATCGCAAAAATTAATCGTCGCCAACTATTTTACCCCTGGTATATCGCGAAATAAAGTCGTCGCGAATAAAAGTTGCTTTACAGTAATTATCATATATTTGCCTTGAATTCTTACTCTTTTAAGTATCTCAGACACGGTACTGCAATAAATGTATACTTATTTTCCTGTATAATACATAATGAAGTATGCGTTAATAATGTTTTAAATGATTCAGCACACTTTATAACAAAAATGGATTTTTATTACACCATCATAATTCAAAAGTCCACTAAACAATACTAAATTGTATTAAGCAAACACGGACCTCCAAAACATTATAGGTGGGATCAGGTGCCATGGAGGAGTCAGCATCAGGAGTCACTGGTCACATCCGGCCTTGTGATCATTGTCATGATTGGGAAATAACGGAAAAAATCTTTAAAAATTTAATGTGTATATAATTGCCGAACAATTAGTATGAAAAACGTCAATCATCATTTGACTTACATGTAATAATAATTGTATTTGCTGACCAGTTCATTGTATCAACCTTAGAACTTACGAAATGATTACGGAGTACTTTAAACGAGATCGCTGCTATTCTTGTTTCAGCATATTCTTGTCAATAACTTACCTCGGTTTAGAAATTGTTCATTTGTAGATCATGCTTTTGCGTATCGAATTAACCGAGAGATGTAAACCCCGTATGCAGGTGATGAAGGAATATTGCTGCATTAGTAAGGGATGTCGTTTGTCATCAAGTTTTGTTGATAGATAACAATTAACATCTTTTTCAAGTAAAATATCTAAATATGAAAGAGATGTGTCAAACTCTGTGTTTTCTTTTTTATTTCAAGCGCACTGGGATATATCGTATCGACATTAGAATGGAAATAACCATTGTTAATTGAGAATCCGTCGTTGATATATCTAAATGTCGAGTTGATAACCACAGCAAGTGTTTCTTCTTTTCATGTATAAGATTTCGGACAAATTCTGCTTCATATGAATGCAAAATAGATCTGTTAATAACAGGGCACAATCAGTACCCATGACAATTCCAATAGATTGTAGGAGGATCTGGTCTCCAAAAACCACATAAATATTGTCAATCAGAAACTAAAACACCTTTTTAATATAAACGTCAGAGTATTTGTGTATACAATCAGAATGTTTTATTTAACAAAATACTTTTGGAAATGACTAAAAACAAGGTAAGTAAATTTAAGGATTTCAATTAAAATAGCAGCTGTCAATGATATCAAAAAGCCTGCATCATATTAATCGTTGCCAATGGTTGTATATAAAATTGAGAAGTTTTAATGCTGTTTATTTGGTAAAAAATTTATGATTTCAAATTTTCCGAACGTTCAGTGGAATTCTATAGAATCCAATCTGATTTACACCACCTCTCAAGTATACAGTTGCACAGTAGTTATGAAGTTTCTCCTCCATTAATGTTAATATTTCATTGAGGAATAAAGAAACATACTTTTTGTAGAACTTTGTAGAACACTTGAACCAGCTGAATATCCATGTTTATAAGGATTTTAGTGAAGTTTTGGAATTCAATATACATTATATATGTAGATATGATTTTAATTAAAATTCATTCTGGCTGTTGGGAATATTAAAAATATTCAAAACTGACATATGTTTTTGGAGAATTTCCTCCCTCGAAGGGGTGCTATGGGTATAAGTTGGAAGTATATCCAAATATTTTGGCGACTTTAACTGCAGTTATTCATTGTATATTGCTACATAAGTAAAATATGCCAGTCTTTATGTTTATTCCAAAAATGTTGCTGTTAGCTAACCGTTGATGTCTTTTGTCTTTCTCTATTAGAGCATACCAGTATGAACAGACCCTTTCTTGCACTTTATTTCAAGTTCGACGGGGTATGTTTATAAAATGAATGAAAATAATCATCGTGATTTGATAAGAAGTCAACGCTATAGTTATGTAGTTGTTGAATTGAATGATTGTGTGAATTTTTCTCTCATATATAGAAACATCACAATATACCAGGAATGGGCTTTAAGAGGGCTGGGTGGTTGTGGCCATTTTAGACAATATTGATCTCTTAAAAGAAGAGCTCCATATAATGCGTGAAAGGAAGAAAACACTTGCTGTGACCTTCAACACGACATTTTGATAAATAGACGACGTATTCATTTGTCAATTAACAATGGTAATTTCCATTCTCATGTCGATACGATATGTATCCTGGTGAGCTTGAGATAAAAATACCACAGAATTCCAAACAGATACCACACATCTGTTTCTTGTTTGGATATTTTACTTTAAAAAGACATTAATGGTAATCTAACAACCAAGCTCTATGATCAACGTGATAATTTTAAATTTTCTTTCCTTACTTAAGCAGAAAAATAGCATCATCATCTGCATACAGAGTTTATATATCTCAGTTGATTTGATACGCAAGAGCATGCTATACGTATGAACAATTTCTTAAAGGAGGTAAATTATTGACAAGGAAGTTGATGAAACAATTTCAGCTGTTTCGTTTAAAGTCGATACAATGACCTTGTCACCAAATACAATCTATCATCGAGTCAAATGCTGACTGACGTTTTTCATACTTATTGTTTGTCCATTATTGATACATTGAATTGACGACGGATTTTTCCGTTATTTCCCGATCATTACAAGGAGCACACGGCGGGTGTGACCGGTCGGCAGTGGCACCTTATTCCACCTCCAATGTTTGGTGGTCCATGTTTGCTCTGCTTCTATTTTGTATTGTTTCATGGACTTATGATCTTCAATTCTGTTCGTTATCTCCATATGTTTCACAAAAATAATCAAATTTTAAAACTAAAACTAAGATTTATAAATATCATTTTTTTAAAAAATAGGATATATCTAATGGTTGATTTGTCCCCCCCCCCCCCCTCCGCATCCTTAAATTCAGACGTAAACTTGGCAATTAAAATGACCTGAAATATTGATCATGCGTCCATTTCCAAATCTAATTGCTCAACTCCTTCCTTGCCCTATCCCTGTTTTACAATGAATCTTTGTTCTATAACACATGCTCACTTCAAGTTAATTCACCAAGATTAAATAAGGAACCAACGCTGTAGACAACTGGATTTTAAAGACAATAATTTTGTACTTTGAAGACAGGACATGTAAAGCCGTCAGCCTTGGATCGGGTGTCCGTGTAAAAACTTACAGAAATTTAAAATGAGTACATATCTTTTGTCCGCTCTAATCCATCGACAAACTTACGTAAGAATATCGAACTAATTCTAAACATTCCTACATGTATACAGTTTTGTCTCCCTAATACCAAAAGTTATCCTTTGCATGTTTCTTTAGACTAATAGTTTGCCTTCTCCGAGTTATAAATACGATTGAATTGTGTTCAAGATAATTTCACGGTCCCTTTTAAAACATCAAGAGGCATCACTTTTGAATAAGTATTCAAAAGGACGAAAACGGAAGTGATATTATTTCTAAATAAAAATTTTTACTTTTTATTTTTAGTTCTATCGGTCAGAGACCAGAAGAACTTATGCGATAGTAATGCGTCCGTCCGTCTGTCTGTCCGTCTGTCTGTAAACAAATTTTCAAAATGCTACTCCTCCTACAGTTTTGGTCTGATTTCAATATAACTTGGCACACAAGTAGGCTACACTAAGATACATAATTCTGTATATCGGTTTTGATTTCCATACACGGTGTTGCCGTGGTTACTAAAAACAGAAATTTCTTTGAAAGACTTTAAACATGCTACTCCTCCTACAGTTTTGGTCTGATTTCAATATAACTTGGCACACAAGTAGACTACACTAAGATACATAATTCTCTTTATCAGTTTTTAATTTCGATGATTGCCGTGGTTACTAAAAATAGAAATTTCTGTGAAATTCTTTAAAAATGCTACTCCAAATACAGTTCTAGTTTGACTATTATGTAATGTGGCACACAAGTATATTACAATGAGATACATAAGTGTCTTTTTTTTGTTTCTTTGATATGATGAAAAATGTTGTCATAATATGTAAATTCTGTAAAATTTTATTAAATGCTACTCCTACAATTGTAGTCTTATTGCAATCTTGCCACAAAAAGAAACTTAATGAAGAATCATTATTCTATTTATTGCAGCTGTTGTCAAGTTTCAAGTCCCAACTGCTACTTTTCTCTTCCTTTGTTATAAGTACAAACCATTAGAGCTTCAGTCTTGACAGAGACTTCTGGTTTTTTGTATTCTTTTATCGCTGAATCAGTTATTGTGGATGATTGAAATCAAACCTATAATTACATGAATTTAAACTCTTTTCGAAGTAAATCTGCATTTTTCATTTACTAAATTATATTGTATTAGCTTTTTACTTGTGTCTTTTAAATTTATCGTTTCAAATAACATCACTTATTTAAGCAATTTTTTAAAGTACGGTATTCCCCAAACAGTACAATTTTTGCTTTCTTTGTCAACATTTTTGACTTTTAATAAAATTTTGCATAAAAATGCCACTATATTTAAATTATTCATAACACGGATAACTCTAGTTAACCGTTGGTGGTATCGCAAAATTAGGATTTTCTGAATAAAAAACATAATTTTGGAAAATTAATTGTAATACACAAAAAGTAAAACGATAGTTTATCCATCTCTTAAAAAATATATTGATTGTAGTATATGCTAGAAGAGACTGCAGAGTTACCAGTACAGCAGGTAATTGTACAACTAATCCCAAAGCCATTTCTGGAACTTGGTTTCCAGTAAAGGCCCAGAGTTCAATCCAAGACAATGACGTCAGCTTTATTACTGAAATGGAAGAGAGTTGTAACGAGCTTCCGTTGAAAGTAGATGTTCAAGTCAGACTTCACACTGGATCAGACTTTATTTTTCCGGGGAGTGGTATAACTCAGAGAACGGATGATTCCGACAGTCCCTATGGAGGGGTAGTGTATAAGTATAAAGCTGATTCAAGTATCAGGATTATGGTCCCTAAAAGAGAAAACGGGAAAGCATCGGGTGTTTCAGTCTTCTCAGGTACGTTTCCAGAGTTTGAATTCTTCAAACTTGATGCATGTTGTAATGTAATAAATGTGCCATTTGTTGAACGATAGATATGATTTGTCTATATCAGAAAAATCTCTTACTTTTCTGTTTATTCATAAATTGATGACTATTTCGGACAATATCACAAAAGAAACTTGAAGATGGCGTCATTTTACATGTTTAGTAGGCTCAGATCTCCTTTCATTCCAGGATTTATAATTAAAAAAGAAACCTTAAATAAATGAAAGGCAAAAACAATAATGATTATGATAAAGATGAATTATTCACATACAGATAATTCTTAAACATCAATGAACATCGTCAGTAAAATTAAATTTATAGTTAACTTAGAGATTTATAATAGAGAGAATTTAGTCCATATTCCTACATTTAAGGTGAATCGTCTTGGAATGGTGTTACCCAGGTGAACGAGACAGTTGCAGATGTCAGATATCGTGTATGGTGTAGATGTAACTTTCCCACACCTGCTTTTGAATCCAATTGGACAAATATAGATGGTTGGTTATGTTTTTGTCAATCAATTTGAATTTTATATAGAATACAATGATGCGCAATACATGTTTATGTGGCAGTGTATTTCTCTTGCAATATATGTATGAGCAGTATGAGTAAATAAATATATAATTTAATAATAAAAATGCTACTCTTATTCATTGAGTGAAAAACAAGAATTACTTGGAGTTCAGTCATGGATTAGGAATCATGCCAGATATGGTTATTGTACAGCTTCGTCACGGTTCAACCGACCAAGACTGGGTAACCGACGTCATGGGTAAAATATCTTATACATGTACAAATTTGTAGATTTGATTGAAGTATATTTATGAAAGGGTACCAAAAAACCAGACACTTCTGAATCTTTTTGACCACGAATACTTTATCATACATATTAAGCAGCACAATTTTAAGTATTCTCTTTTGTTAGATGGAAATCAGCTGAAATTTCTATCTACTTAATTGGTTCAGAGAAGTAGACAGCGCTTACATACGAATAATTTTTCTTTTTTGAAATACTTTTCCTTTCACTAATTTTGATGATATTCTAAAAGGGTCGATGTCTACGTCAAGGACTGGGAAAGAAAAAAGTGGTTTAATATACGCATACAACTCCAGGACTGTCAGGATTTGGGCACCAGATAAAGGTATCATTCGAGGAAGATACTCTGCTAATGGTCAATACATGGAATTCATCTTAATTAATAAAGATCTTTTCATATGTACATTCTGCATATATTTCATTCTATAGATCTTTAACTTTATATGTATCTTATGTTTTCTAATGGTAGGGAACTTGTTTAACCTCGCTGACGGATGGGGACTGTCCACCGATAAGGACACTATCATTTCCGGTCAGGTGAAAATTTATGTCTGGAGCTACCTGATGAACATAAAGAGTAAAATCATAACAATCGATAGCAGTACATCAATTCCAAATCTTCAAGTTCCCTTACCTGTCCAATTAAATGTTGACCAGGACATTTTATACTTTACAGTAAGTTGGTAAAGCCACACAGTTTTCGGTGCAAGTTGAAAAAAAGGTTAAAAATCAAGTTAGAATGAACAATTTTTGGAAACATTTTGAAGGCCTATTCTATATTTAATGAAACTAAGCTGTTTTTATTAAGCGTCCATTGAAAGACAATGAAAAATAGCATTATTGCTCTTCTTCGTGAAAATTGGGAAAATTTGTTCGTAATATGTGTCTGTAGATGTGAAGTTTGGAAAATCCAGGCCATAGAAAACGTTTTCTTTCTTATCTTCATAAACAATCATGATTTTCTCAGAAAGCAATGTTTATAACAATATATAATGTGTTTCAAATAAATTATAATAATACATTTTCAAATTCTAATTCGTCTATGAATATTTTATGATTAAATGTTTTGGGTGAAGTTTGAATAACTGATTGTCATGATCAAATTTGTTGGTTATTAATTAGTACCTAATGGTTGTGGTAAAAAATAAGCATATTTCATATGTACCACAAAGAAGTCGGTTCACTTTATGCATATAATGGCCCTGTAGATATACCAATTGATTGATTAACACTTGATTTTTTTATTTGAAGTATCAAAATAAACTAGAGACTTTGTGCTTTCATTTAAGCATTGAATTGATATTTTTGGATGTCTTCGGTCCTATAACACACCTGGCCGTGCCGACAAAATGAATACCGCGCGTTAGCGCGTTTTTTTTTTTTTTTTTTTTTTATATCTGCCTGTTAATATGTTTTATACAGGACCACAATGTAAACTAGTCATATGTTCTAATTGTGCTATCCTGTCTAAATAAAAAAAAAAAATAAAAGAATAGGACCGAAGACATCCAAAAATATCAATTCAATTCTTATATTTACTTTCTCTAATTTTCCTTCTTCATAATTGCTTATTTCGTTAATCGTAAATGTGAATTTTTAAAATTGCCGTGGTTAATAGATGTAAGAGCTGTTTGTGACGTCAAATGACGTTAAATGACGTTGCAAATTTAAATTACGCAAACAAACACAGCGAGGAAAAAAAGGACAAATTCATTCTTAACGCATATTACGTTAATTTTTACGTTAATTTTTCAGGGTTATAGTTTTTCATTAAATTGAAATAAAACATTTTACATTTTGGTGTTCCTAGAATATTGAAAATGCAAATAGTTCCTACTGTGTATTCTAACGCGCGGTGACAAGGTTTCCCATGTGTTATGGAAATATGAACGTCGTGGATTTCTAATGGATTTCATAAGGAAAATTACACTGAATGTAAATATTTTCTATTAAAAAATTTCTCCTAAGAGTCCAGGTCGTGGAGAACTGGCTAAATGAAATTGCAATGTTCTTGAATTTTCAGGTAAACAGGTATAATTGAGTACTTTCAATGAAGAAAAATAATATCAGCGCACTCTCTGATCTAAAAAATAAAACATGTCTTTTAATCCCCAGAAATAGTTCTATCATTTAGTAGTTGCACGTTTTAGATCAGAGGTTGCGCTCTATATTAAATAATGTAATCTGAAGGTCTTTTCTGTGACTGTATAACAATTTAAGGATGTAAGTTTTATATTACATCAAAGTTTTTTTTCGAAATCATCTTTAGATTTCACCCACAAGTGGAGAAAATAGAGGGTTTGCATTTTCCGGAATGGGATCCGTTCAAAACGCTGACCCAAATACACAATACGGAGGAGTGATGTATTCGTACTCCTCAGACAAAATCAGACTTTGGCGCCCAAAGTTAGACGGACGTCACTTCCTGGTCTACGTCAGCAGTGACTGGGGCGGGGGACACCATACACAGTCAGCTGAGTCCGTTATTGCCCGGATATCCGTGTGGAAAGCTGGACAAATATGTAAGAGCATAAATACAGGCATGAAATATTACCTATTACTAGTATTTTATCATGTAAGCAAAAAGTATTTTTAGAAGGGTTAGTATATCAGGTTCCTTTCAAATAACAACTGGTTGAATAGGTTTAAATATAATATATTTAAGAATAATTTAGAGAAAAGGAAAAAAGTGTTTTTAAATTTATTATTTACATCATGATATCAAACAAAAATTAAAACCAAATAATTTAGGTCTAATTCCTCCGAGCCAACGAACCACTCCAACAACGACGAAATCATACACAACAACTTTGATGACGTCATATTCATCTATAAATGTGGGGAATTCCTCAGTTAGAGATTTAAAGAAGGAAGGCAAGTTCAAACGAACTATGAATTTCAAAAACACATTCATGGTTTGTTTACCAAAATATCAAAATGCGACATTTATGTTGGAAAACATTAGTGTTTCTATGGGAGCAGTATTTTTTCTGCTCAGTTATATTAAACAATCAATAACATGACATAACTTGCACATATTACAAAAAAGTAATAATAATTCTTGACCCAAACCTTTGACAGCTAAACACTAATTGCAACAACTTGCTATAAGTTTCCATTTACGAAAATATAAGAATTCAGAAATGAGTTTAAAGATACAACCTTAAGAAAGCAATGCATATATCTACGTGAGTGATCAAGATATTGTAAGCGTTGTTTTACTGTTGTAGAATTGTGGTACGATCGGTCTGTGACGGTCCCTGTTCTCTGGCTGGTAGTGGGAGGAGGCGGACTTTTATTGATTATTTTCCTGTCGATATCCATTTACTGTTTATGTAAAGAGAAGTCATCAAACGAGGTAAAAGAGGTCAAAAATTTTAATTTTATATTCATCAAACGAGGTAAAAGAGGTCAAAAAAATTAATTGGAATATCTTGTGCAAGTTAATGATTTATTTGAATGAAATTGTCTTTTGAGCTACATTTTTACTTACCTAAAATGAAAATGTTTGTTACCGTAATACGATGTGAATACTTATTTTTCTTTCAGCATTTTTTTTTACGTTCATGTAAATTTGTGACTTTGCATTTTAGGTTTTTCCGCATAACGATGCAGACGCTTAAAATGTAAAACCTGACTTTGTTGATGATGTTGAGATGGATATATAGTGATTAAGACATCTACCAATAAACAATTCTCTTTTTGAATTTATCTTCAGACTATTCAAAATGTGTTACAGTCGTGTCAATTTCTGTGGTATCATTTATCTCGAGTATATACATGTAATATCAATTGAAGAATGAAAATAAAGGCTATTTATTACGAAAGCCCAGAAGGCTCATTCGTACGAAAGCCCAGAAGGCTCATTCGAGATTCAAGTTTCGAAATACGAGATTCGAAATTCGAGATTCGAAATTCGAGTTTCGAGATTCAAATTCAGAAGCGAGTTTCAAAGTACGAGATTCGAGATTCGAAATTCGAGATTCGAAATTCAAGATCCAAACTAGCCAATCAAAAGCGGGTTCAACATTTGATTACTCCCCTTTATTATGTTTTTACTATGAAGAAATCGTTTAAAATAATTATAACAAATGGGTCATTTAATTATATTACAATGCAAGAAAGAGTGTTATATATATTAGAAGGAAATTTTAATAATTATTGGATTTTTGATCAAAAAAAATATACTTCAATCTATATTATAGCTTCATAAATATTAAAAAAATTACTTATATCATGAGTATATATATTTATTTGTATTGTCTTCTAAACTTAATTTTTATGTATTTTCCCGCATAGGAAAACCAAATGTACTTGTGGACAGGGCATCCCCCCCTCGATATTAAACCCCAGGGCTTATTGGACTTTTTTCACAACATATATCTTATACACTTATTCATCGTGTGTTCAATGCCAAAAAAAAATCGTAAAAACCCAGAATAATCGCTCAACACAAAAAATACCCCACTATACATTATAAGAGAGAAAATATGCCACGTGCACTCCAGTTTGTTTACGTTGTACGCCCGCTGCTATTTCTAGGTTTAAAACCATGCATTTATTGTAACTTAAAATGTTGATTAAAATTAACTGTCTCTACATATATTTTGTCTTAGTCCATGCTATCGGATTGACTCTGCATCTCGTAATAATCCCATATTTTCTCCTTAAATAACACCTCTCTTGTATAGTGGGGTGGGGTAATGTATAATGGGTTTTTTTTTGGTTAAACGATTATTCTGGGGGTTTTACGCCCGTGATGTTTTCGTATTGTACACATTAATAAGTGTAATAAATATAATTTGTTAAAAAAATTGTCCAGTAAGCCTTGGTATTGAATATCGAGGGGGGGGGGGGGGAGGGGTCCTGTCCACAAGTACGTGTGGTTTTCCTATGCGCGGAAATACAAAAAAAAAAATAAGTGAAGATAATACAAAAATATATATACTCCTGATACATGTAATCTAAAATATTTAAGAAGCTATAATATAAATTGAAGTATATCTTGCTGCAAAAATCCAATAATTATTTAAATTTCCTTCTAATATATATAAAACACTCTTTTTTGCATTGTAATTTAATCAAATGACCCATTGGTTATAATTATTTTAAACGATTTCTTGATAGTAAAAACATAATAAAGGGGAGTAATCAAATGTTGAATCCGTTTTTGATTGGTTAGTTTGGATCTTGAATCTCGAAACTCGTATTTCGAATCTCGAATTTCGAATCTCGTATTTTGAATCTCGAATCTCGAGCCTTCTGGGCTTTCGTACATTCGAGATGTGTACGAGATTCAAAATTCGAGATTCGAAATTCGAGTTTCGAGATTCAAGATTTTTAACCAATCAAAATGCTCATTCGAGATTCGAGGTTCGAAATACGAGATTCGAAATTCGAGTTTCGAGATTCAAAATCCAGATTAGCCAATCAAAAGCGGGTTCAACATTTGATTACTCCCCTTTATTATGTTTTATATATCAATAAATCGTTTAATATATTTATAACAAATGAGTCATTTGATTAAATTACAATGCAAGAAAGAGTTTTATATATATTAGAAGGAAAGTTAAATAATCATTGGATTTTTGATCAACAAGATATACTTCAATTTATATTATGACTTCTTAAATATTAAATAGAATACATATATCAGGAATATATATATTTTTGCATTGTCTACTTTATATAAAGGGTTGTTGACATAATATATAAAGTTATAAATAGTGACTAAAGATTCACAAAATCCCCACCCCTACCCGCCACACCTGCCACTTTTTCCCGACACTGAAAATGTTACTTTAAAAACTTGAAAAGCAATATAGCCTTGGTAAATAAAAACCGAGTATATTTTAATCTTTGACCATAACGCTATGGTCGAGACTTAAATATAAAACCATAACGCTATAGTTTTGCAGCTAATTTAGACTAATCTACTGTTTGATATCAGATAAAATGAATGCTGTATTTATTCTAATTCATATTTGCAATCTGTAGTGTATATATAATTGTTAATTAATTCAAGAAATCAAAGCCTAAGATGAAGATAAGTAATTGAAAACTTTATTTTTATGTACTGAGTATTCCCTCTAATGGGAAAACGAACACGGTTTTTATTTATCAAGGCTACATTGCCTTTCAAGTTTTTAAAGTAACATTTTCAGTGTCGGGAAAAAGTGGCAGGTGTGGCGGGTATGGGTGGGGATTTTGTGAATCTTTAGTCACTATTTATATCTTTATTATTATGTCAACAACCATTTATATAAAGTAGACAATGCAAAAATATATATATTCCTGATATATGCATTCTATTTAATATTTAAGAAGTCATAATATAAATTGAAGTATATCTTGCTGATCAAAAATCCAATGATTATTTAACTTTCCTTCTATTATATATAATACTCTTTCTTGTATTGTAATTTAATCAAATGACTCATTTGTTATAAATATATTAAACGATTTATTGATAGATAAAACATAATAAAGGGGAGTAATCAAATGTTGAACCCGCTTTTGATTGGTTAATCTGGATTTTGAATCTCGAAACTCGAATGTCGAATCTCGTATTTCGAACCTCGAATGAGCCTTTTGATTGGTTAATCTGGATCTTGAATCTCGAAACTCGAATTTCGAATCTCGAATTTTGAATCTCGTATTTCGAAACTTGAATCTCGAATGAGCCTTCTGGGCTTTCGTAATTTATAGATAAGACGTCGTCGACATATCTAAATACTAATTTGAAGGCTCTAGTAAAAGACTGTCTTTATATGTTAAAAAATTTTGAATGAATTGTTCGTCATATGAATATATTTACATCCACTGAATACCCAAAATGAGTTCTGAAAACAATCAGAAATTGAATAAAAAGATTTACGGACATGTGTTTTAATTAAATAGAATATTAAGTCAAAATCATTAACTAAAGACTATCATTAAGACTAAATCATTGAAAAGCGTCTTTTGCTTCTTTCCGAGCACCGAGGTCATTATTTATTGAACAGTCCTCGTATATGTATTTTTTTGACTATCTACATTGTCATTGCTACCATGTTGAAAGAGTGTGTGCTGAGTGTTCTTTTTCACTGTCTACGGAAACTTCTTGGTGATGGGATATTAATTTGAATTTAAATCTTTAAAAGAATTCAAACTTCTACTGACAGAATGTAAAGATCAGGTAAAATAAAATGTTAAGAAAATCAACTGGCTTCCGTTATTTATTTGAAATCTATTCCAAAATATTCTTCTTTCGAATAAACCCTGTTTTTTTTTTTTTCTTTTTATTTTTAAAAAAATTTTTTTTAATCCCTTGTTTCATCAGAATAAACAAACCAAGAGAGAGTACATTCTTTCCATGAAGAACATTAGAAGAATTGAAGTTCAAATTTTCCAAAGTATTGGTATAAAGAAACGTTTTCTGGGAAAAATAATAATGACAGAACAGTTTGTAATCAAAACATGGCATGTTTTACAGTTTTGATGACATAGGATTGGGAGAGGAATCTTCAAACGTATCTCTTCTGGGAACTATACATTTCTTCTTCGATTATTGTGTACAAAACTTTGACTTTATATCAAAAATTGAAATCTGATGAATGTGCGTATGACATGTGATTAACATCCCATATTATTCAAAAGATATCTTCTCTTTAACTCTTTGTTTCTTATTGCCTCAAAGAGTGGCGCCTTTTAAACTGCCAGAATCATTTAGTAATATTTCATATTATTAAATGAATGATTTGATTGGTTTTATGTTTTATTGGTTAGTTGTTTAATGTCCTTTCTGGGTTGTTTCTCTTATATGGAAGACGCCACCACTTACCGGTGGAGGGCTGCAAATTTATACCTTTATTCGGCACTCAGGGCCATTGAGCAGTGATGGATCTTTTTCATGCCAGCACCTACTGCGAAACGAGATCTCGGTTTTATAGGGTCTCATCCGAAGGACTGGTCTCCACGTCCCTCAATTGATTCAAACCGTGACGTAAGAAACATCTCCTCATTCTGCGACTGTGGAGCATAAGTTCTAATTCTGCGGTTGACTGAAAGAATGAGTAACCTCGGGGACAACCTGCTCGTAAAAGACTTATACATGTATGATCGATTGTTAAAAATGAGATACTGGTATGAAGATAATGATCATTAGTCATGCTAATATGTCAGTGGGAACAATACAAATAATGAACAGAGCAAACAAGGACCTCTAAAAAACAGAGATAGGATCGGGTGTCATGGAGGAGTAGACATCCCCTGTCGAGCGGTATGCTACTTTTCCTAATTAGGTAAAGTAAATCCATTTACAATTCAGTGTAAAAAAAAAAATGGTCAGCCACTTTGTATGAAAGAGGCCAGTCAACATTCGGCTTAATGAAAGATTGATTGTATTTTCTAACAAGGTCCTTACCTTGACCATAGAATTTGTGAAATGTTGTGGTTGTTACCAGCTATGGGATTTTTAAATAACTCCGTGTCACGGACCAGAATTTCGGAGTAACTAACCTGCTTCTTAAAATGAAATCTTGCAACAAAGGAGTTGACGCCGTGAGCAAAAGCAATATTCCAAATCACAAAAGGGTGGTCCAATCTTGAATTTGACAATATTCTACAACCCTCTGATAAATATACGTCATCTCTTGTTCCAAACATTGTGAAGTTTTAATGAACAAAAAACAACTCTAAGGTGCGTAAATATGGACCATCTGAAACCGAAATTCTCAGTGATGCTCAATGATACATAATTACTGGAGAGTAAATAACGTTAATTATTGGAATTTCAAATCATTCAGAATTTAGGGAACCCTTCACATTCATCATCTGATGAATATTTTCAAGCTTTATGGAAATAAAATCCTCATATTTCAAATTAGAAATTAAACGAAAATCCCATTTATTCCGACATATATGACGTTTGTTAAAAATATTCTTTTCTCCCTAGTTATCATTTTTGCTCAACAAAGCACTGAAATGGTTATCAAGAAATAGAGTAAGTTAGTTAGTTACAACCTCTTAGCATTTATCTCACACATATTTCATCTACCAATTATATCAAAAGAAGAGAGGGAGAGAGATTTTTCTTATAAATGCATATTTTTAATCGCAAAAGACAATAAGAGTCATTGTGTTTTAATATGCCTCGACCTAATATAGATTCTGCACGTCTTAATGTTTACACTTCTAAAAAAAAGATAATAATTATCAAGCTCTAGTTCGCCATTCTCTCTCGATATTTTCATCTTTTTTCCTCTGTGTAGATAAGAAGTAATAATGTCTAGCTATTTAATATCTCCGGCCGGACACGGAGCGCGTGTGAGATTTATCATTTTACTTATGACAGAGATAATCCAACTCTTCTATAAAGTCACCCAGATTTAAGATTACAATGCTTATTTATGTGATTGGATTTCCAGATTATCACTCTTTTCAAGTGTTTGCTCCTTGTATGTGTCCGGGTTGATAGGAGTTTGTAAGTTCAAATGTCCCAACCTTTAAACCTAAGATAGGTGTCGATATATATAATACTTCCAAAACGATTTTTGGTTTCATTTATTTTAAAAGAAATGAAGAACGATTTCAACAGTTTAATTGTTTTAGTATTTAACATCTGTTGCCTCTTAGGTAAGTTTTTCTAAAGTATCATTTATTTACTTACATGCTCTGGTACCAAGAATTAAGAAAAAGGATTTTTGAATCTTAACCTGTTACTTAAAAGTTAAATCAATTCTTTTTACTTTATTTTTTTTATCTACTTTATTCTAATTTCAGCAGTTATTTTATATTTTAATATTTAAGTTTTATTTGCATTTGTTTTTCAGATTTTCGTGTTTCTAGTCGATGCTTTAATAAGCCTCACTTTCTCAGCCAATGGACGGATGTGGAGGCACAGAGGACCAGGAAACCCGTCACCTTAGAACACGAATGTGGAGATTTTCCTGCGAAAGTAGAGATCCAGGTTAGACCGAAAACCGGAAACTGGACTAATTTTTATTTTCCTGGAATCGGCTCCTCTCAGAGAGATGATGATAGGAATAAGACGTACGGTGGAATCGTGTATAAATACAACAAGGACGAAGTGGTTTTGTTCATACCTGGTGCTAACGATGGATATTCATCAGGGACAATAATTTACACAGGTAAAAAAGTTTTGACTTAAATTTACGAGGAAGAATTAGAAATAACCGGGGCTTGATGCAAGCAAGGGCAAAATATTTGGCTTCTGACTTTTTCACCAAAATATTTGCCATGTTCTGTAATACATGATGCAAAAAATAAAACCAATTGATTAATAATTTAAAAAAAAAACAGTACCAAATTTTTGCCTTGAATTTAAAAAAAAAATGATATTTTATAGAATTGAATTGTTATTTGTAGTCATCACAGAGTCTGTACAATTTTTGGAAGACCTTCGTTAACAACATTTTTTTCGTAAAAGGATTTTCACTAATTTGGTTACCAGATATAGCGCTGGGATATTTGATAACAAATAATAATGTATCTGTTGCTCTATAACTTTCAGATTGCGATTCTAATACCTTTCCGATAAATTATATTGTATCAAAAATGTTAATTTGTATTTTATTGATGCTTTTCTCTAAATGTAATAATATTAAATTAGTTATTTTCTTTCCTTCATAAGATACCTTATGCCTTGTGCTAAAAGTACAGTCAAACATCATGTAAGATGTATTGAACACTGCAGCTGCCAAAGGAACAAACGTTTCTATATGATTTAATTTTTTCAAAAAAGAAAACATTATCAATGCAAAGTAGTCATACACTTTTGACAAAATATCGAAACTAAGAACTTACATGTAATGCATTTTTTTTAATATTCTCTGTCCTTACATTTTTAGTTTTAGCTTAATTATTCATTTGTGTGCAACTCATCCGTGTGCAAATTTTGTCTAGGACTTAGTTGTAATTCAGCATACTTATAAATGACTTTGTCGCTGTGAAACGAGATTTCTTCGGATTTTGTATTTCACTAATATAGAATTTTTTTGATGGATGACCATCCATTTTCTTACATGTGGGCATGTAGGATTTCTCATGTTTTGTGACTGGAGATCGTTTTTATCCAATCATTTGTTCCTTTTAGAAACATTTTAAAGGAAGGAATAAACAAATGACAAACATCAGTGTGCAGTTATTTCATCTACAGGTGCGTCTACCTGGCGAGGCCCTGTTGCCCAAAGAGAAAGTCGAGCACAGGTACGAACTTTAGTCTGGTGTCCAGGTGATCTCCCGAGTCCTTCACACCAATCACAATGGATTCCATTCAATAATTCTGGTAAAATGCCATGTATTCTACTTTTTGTTTGAACAAATATAATTCTATCCATTTTACTGCATATTAAAGTTATACACATATTATACTCTTTTCACCTATTTCTACCTTACAATTAAAACTTTTAATAAAAATTGTTATTTTAGGAATCGGTTCATTCTTGGAAATTCCTCACAACCAAGGAACTTTTCCAGATCTAATTACTGTTCAGATTCGCCAAGAGGGCACAGAATGGCTGTCGGACGGGATAGGTATACCAGCTGTATACAGTATATTTCAATTTTAATGTAACATTGCTCAGACTTTTATACAAAGATGAAATAAAAAAAGAAACACCTTTTAACCCTGCTGCTTAGGCACAGTAATTAGCATTAATTGTATTCCTTTAATTTCCCATCCTTTACATTGAATCGTTTTCCTGATTTTTAGGATCTATGTCTGCTCTAAAACCAGACAGCACTACATCCTGGGGAGGAGTGATCTACGGTTATAACAGAAGCCACGTGAGGGTGTGGGCACCATATCGTAAAAATGGTGAGCATGTACTCAAATTATCAATTGACTTGTCTCTTCAATTTCAGTTTGAGGTTTCCGCGTGACGCTGTTGTTAGAACGTTTTCTTTAGAGTCTCGGAGCGAGTTCCAATCCTTCTGCAGGTTTTGGAGGTCGGTCTTTCAGATAAGACCGCAGAAACCGAAGTGGTGTGTCTACGTAGTAGGCGTTGACACAAAAGGATTCCTCTCTACTCAGAGGCTGTGCAACCCACTAACGACAAGTGATGGCGTCGCAATAGGATAAGGTATACACACGCACGCTATATCCCAATGAACTCGGAAAACACTACAGAGTATCCACATCTTTTCAGCTCCTGTGTATATGTTCAAACCACCTGCTCATGCGGGCAACATAGGTGAAAAATAACAATTGATTTTACATCTTCGACAAGTCTAAATGTGAAGTTGAAGGCCATATATGAAGGATTTGATCTTCTTTTGTAGAAGTTTGCAAATTTTTCGAAGGATTATAAAAGACGGATGTGCTAATTTTGGAGAACAATTGTTTCCTTTCAAATTTGTTACAGTTAATTGGATGGTCTGGTCTCAGAAGTATACGTATATGTATCTTATGCCTAGGTCACATTTAAGCCGATGGTCGGGCGACTAAATTTTTGTGGTCTCGTCGGCTGAAAGAACATGATCGGCCGACACAAGTATCGGGCGACATGGAGCAGTTACATTAATTCCTAGGAACACCGATGATAGATAAACAACACAAAAAATCTTTTTTCTTTAGAAATCATAAATATTTATCATAAATCTATATTCAAATAGGTGACTTGAGTAATGTTTGCAAGGCAAAGTGGCAGAATTTTATCAGATTGTGACTTAATGTTATAATGTGTGCAAAATGTTGTATAGATTTGCATAAAAACGACAAATGGCGCATATCTAAGCAGCAAAGAATACTTCAGATTTCTTTATATCTTACGAATTAATTATTTTTGTTATTTCCGTTCAAAAAATATATATCAATCCATGCATTAATATTTTGTTTGTGTTATGTATCCTTGATAGTTTAAATATTCACAAGTCGGCCAATCGTCGCCCGATCCTCTAGCTCTGAGCTACAGTTTGATTTTAAACGTTAGCCGAAATTATGAACACCCTTATTGTTGAACGACGGACGACCGACTTTATAAACTGACTGTAAAGGGTCGGACGATGATCGAAGGTTGGTCGACGGATAACTTCAATTGATGAATCGGCCACTGACGCAGAAAAATTATAACTTGGACCGATGGACACAAAATTGGTCGGCCGACAAAAGAGAGGTCAAAATCGGGCAAGACAACGGCCGATGAAATGCCGACTGTCACCCGAAGAATCCCATTTTTGCTTCAAAACCCGTCGGCCGTTGGTCGTTTTTGGGTATATAGACGAGCCCTTATAACCTTTTTAATGTTTTTAATGTCAACTTCAAAGTACTTGTGTGAGGAATCAGAGCTACTTTAGTAATATTAATTTTGAAGAAACCAAAATATAAAAATTTACTTTGTTTCATTTTTATCGCAGTAGCAATTTTCTACGCTGTCAAAAATTATTGTGAGGAATGTTTGTTTAACACGTAGAAAATTCATGTTTGATGCTTTTGATATTTCATAAGTTTAGAGAGTTTATCTTTGATTATTTTTATAATTAAATTTTAATTTACACATCTTTTTGAATATTCATAAGCACATTCGATTGAACATTCTCCCTCATAACACTAAATATTTCAATAAGGGGTAAGCTTCTGATAGACCAAGTGCTGCACACAGTAATGTCCCTTTGTTTGTAAATTTTTTTATGAAGTCAAGAATCTTGTAAAGGAAGGGAATCGAACTCATATTTTTGCAATTGCTTAACGTGCCTCTCGAGAATAATTTACTCATTCGGCGACGCTGACATAAGTGGTGGTTGCAAATTTATACCTATACGTGGGACTCAGGAGCAATGAACAGTGAGGGATCCTTTTTCTGCCAGCACCAACTGCGGTATGGGACTTTTGTTTTTATGGTCTCATCCGAAGGATCAGTCTTCAAGTCCCACCGTGGATTCGAAATCGCAACATAAGGATGACTCTGGAGCAGATCTAGACGATCTCACCATAAATACTTCGTATTTATTGACTGGAATATTAAGCATAATTAAAACTGTAGGTATCTATTGAATAACCAGATGTGGAAACAGAACAGAGTTCCAAAAGAAATGCAGCTGTAATAATGACCATGACAAACAGGCTATACTGTTACAAGCTGTATCAACTAGAACTAAAATATATTCTTTTTACGAAGATTCTTTCCTACTTAAAACAGAATGATTCCAGTATTCATACTGCATTTACCATTCACGAAACTAAGATAGCACTGAAAGGTTTTTATACGTTATGTCTATATAATTTTATGTTCTAGGTAAACTCTTTTCTGCTGATGATGGTTGGGGTTCTTCAACAGAATCATGGTCACGTGGTCTAGTCAGAATAAAATCCTGGAAGGTTACAAATATGCACTACGTTACAACACAGCTTAACCAGAACAGCAACAATGAACTCCCTCTCAACACGGTGTATAACCAGAACGAGGATTTTATGATTGTCAAAGTGAGCGACCATTAACCTCTTTTGCTATGGTTTTAAAAGAGTTCTTACTTTAATTATCTATGAAGGTCAGACGACATATAAACTGAAGATTTTTGCAGGTTCTTGCTGACAATGGGAATAACAAGGGTTTTCTATTTCCGGCCTCTGGGGCAGTACAGAATGACGACGGTATGTCCGCCTATGGCGGCGTCGTCTACGCAGCTTCCCGTGATACCCTGCGGATCTGGACCCCAGTACTGTCGGGTTCTAGGTATCTCATCTACATCAACGATGACTGGGGAAATTCAATGTATCCTCAGACTTCTATATCTGCCAAATTACTGATTCAGATTTGGAGATCAACCACATGTAAGAAGTGTGTTTCAGTTTTTATTGAAATAATTAAAAATAAAATCATTTAAATTTCTTAAAACTGTCCCTTCAAGTTTTCACTTAACATTCCCTAAACTGAAAACAGAGCACCATTCACGTTTACAAAAGCAAATGGTTAGAATCACAATTTTACCTCATTTTACAAGCATCTTCCTTTTAAAACACATTGTCACGGTAGCTCAATCGGTAGAGCACTCTCAACGTAATTAAAAGGTCGTGAGTTTGAATCTTGACTAAGATCGACCATAGTCGATGAAAAAGGGATAGCAGCTATGCTTTGCATTATAAACCACCCTCACTTTTTAATGGACATACGAGGGCTTTTCAATAAATAATGTCCTGAACTCTATGACATACAACACAGATATCATATGACATTAATCTTGACTTTCTCTCATAATTGAATATTTGATAAATTGATATCAGTTTATGTGACCACTTTTCCTCTCATATTTTCATTGTAAGAAGCTGGAAAACAAGGGCTATTCGAGACACTGCATTAAAAATGAATGTTAAAGAATCTTTGAACTACAGTGAAATTAATCGCTTCATTTGAGGTGCTCTAAAACTTGATAAAAATCCCAAAGAAATATTCACTGAAATTTATGAAATTTATAGCAACCAATGCCTGTTTTATAGTCACATGAGCAGGTACATTTTAATGAATAATAATGATATAATAGGCATCAAAAATTGGTACCGTCCTTGGAGACAAGGACTTTAAATAACCAATGTTCTGTTTGCCAAAATTCAACAAATTATCACTTGTAGTGTTTGATTTATTTAAAACACATAGCAAATTTAATAGGCATCAATTTGGAGGTAGTTCGCACTATTTTAAAGAAACATTTGATAGTAAAAAAAAAGTACTCAATGGTCGCCCTATGTTTTGAAAAATGATTGAAAACGACATCGTATAAGAAAATCTAGACAATTATTTAAAAAAAACATAAGTTGTAGTTAACCATGTTTGTCCGAAATTCAAACAGATAATAAAACTTGAATCCATTGCTTTATTACCCTCAAAACATTTTTACAATAAGATCCACTTGACAAAAACAGCAAAGATATGAAAAGAGAAAAGAATTACATGCCATTATATGCCATTTTCTTAAATATTAATGGTCTTTTTGTTCAAAATTCGGTTCAATAACTAATGTCCTGGGTGCTCGGAAAAAAGCAAAAGACGCTTTTCAATGATTAAGTCTTAATGATTTAACTTAATATTCTCTTTTAATTAAAACACATGTCCGTAACATTTTTTATCCAATTTCTGATTGTTTTTAGAACTCATTTTTGGGTATGACCCTTAGTATACTGGAAAATAGCAGATCCAATGATTTCCTGGACTTTCCTTTCTTCCTTCTGAAAGGTGTTTTTTCAAGTTTGCAAATAGAAACAAGTCAAAAGGTCAAGATCTGGCGAATATTGTTAATGTGAAAAAACATTAACTTTCTGTTTATCCCGAAAACCCCTTTACTCTTCAGGGTGTGCGGGTTTGGACGCTGTCATGAAGAAATTAAATTTAGTGGATTCCTGATTCTTGGTCCTTCCTCTAATAAACCTTTCGATTTTTATGCCAAAAAAATTGCTTTCTAGCCTCCTCCAGAAATGAAACTGTCTTCCGAATACGAAATTGAACAACAATACCACTAATATTAAAGAAAATTGCATATAAATTTGTCTTCTTGCTCTTTCAATTCTTTGCTCTTGTCAGACCTTCGCTGTTTTTATCAAGTACATCTTATGGTAAATTTTGTTTTGAGGGTTTTAAGCAATAGAATCAAGTTCCTTTTTCTTTTTGAATATCAATCAAACGTGGATAACTACAATTGCTGATATTTTAAAATAATTGTTAAGACATTGGTATGTGCTGTCGTTTTCACTCATTTTTCAAAATATAGGGTGGCCTTTGAGTACTTCAGCTTTTTACCGTCAAACGTCTCTTAAAATCAGTGTAAAATACTTCCGAAATGATGTCTATCAAATTTGCTATGTGTCTTAAAGTCAATCATACATCATCAAATATTATTTGTTGAAATTTGGCACACAGTACATAAGTTGTTATAATCTTTTGTTGGCAAGGACGGTACCCATTTTTGATGCCAATTAAATAATCTTTTATCATTGAAATCCACCTGCTCATTTGAATATAAAACAGACATTGGTTGCTGTAAATGTCACATATTTCAGTGAATATTTCTTTGTGATTTTTAACAAGTTTTACAGCATCTTTATTAAAGCTTTTATTATCACTCTAGTTTACTTATTCTTTACCATTCATTTATAATGTAGTGTCTCGAATAGCCCTTGTTTTCCAGATTCTCACAATGAAACTATATGATGAAAAGTGGTCACATAAACTGTTATAAATTCATTAAAGATTAAATAATGAGAGAAACTCAAGCTTAATGTCATATGATATCTGTATTGTATGTCATTCAGTTCAGGACATTATTTATTGAACAGCCCTCGTATATACTGATGTCTCTGATATGTAATAAAAAAATTAGCAAATGGTTGTAGAACAACATATCATCCACAATTCTTTAACAAAAAATATAATTGTCCTAAGCCAGAGGCGTGAAAATAACCAAACAAAGGCGCGAGCATTACCGACTGAATGTTGAAGATGCTGCTGTAATAAATGCCTACAGAATCATCGATTTTCACGCTTTTAAACATTGCTTTTATTGTTAAAAAAATATTTATAACAATAATTTTGGTTTGGGAGTGTGTGAATTTATACTATCAGTCTCAGTTAGTTTTTGTTCTATACAAGTAAAATATAATTCTTTAGGTAACTTTAATAAAATCGTTGTAAGGAGGTCAATTTGATTTGAAATGTGAATTAATATCCTAATATCAGGATAAAATGATATTTTTCATGTGTTTAGGTGCAGCGTCCACGGCTCCCTTAGCAACTCCTTCTACCTCTATCAACCAAAAGTCCAGTAAATCAGTTTCAACCACCTCCACCTCCATTAATTCACAGACCAGTAATTCAAATTTAAAATCAAATCAAGCACAATCATCAAAATTATCAACAAGTAAGTTTCATCATTTCTTTTAATATATAATTTTATCATACATGTACATGTATGAATGATTAGGTTTAGTACATTCTGTCATGTTTGATTAAGGAAATAACTTATTCAAAGTTGACCTATTTTTATTCAATTCTGTTCAGTTAAAATCTCTTTTTATGAGGGTTTATTACATGCATTCATTTGTATTCTAAACAACAAGACTGAATTTAGGCTCCGTAAATTTTAACTGCTAGGTGTTCAAGGAAATTTATAAAATTATATTAAGCTTCCCCTGTGGTACCCGCTGCTGTTGGTGGTAGCTTGTTATTATTGGCTGTCTCGGGGGCGGTGGTGGCCGTAGTCTTGTGGAAAAAGTACCGAAGGAACAGAGTTGTAAGTACGAAATCAGCGCTGTTTACTCTTTTTTATATTATGTATATTTAATTTAAAACTCTGCATTGCTTAACTATTTGACATACTCCGTTCTTCTTTGTGTTCATGGTATATCGAAACAAGATAAATCAATATTTTATAGAGATGAAAAATACAGATTACAACAAGGTTTCACAATATGAATAAATGTTGACTGTCAATGAGGCGCAGTCAATTATTTATTGTGTATTATGGCTAAAGAACACAATAAGACTGGCATTAAACGTCAATATTTCCCTCGACAGATGTTGTAAAGAACAAACAATACTTTTTATAACGTGTGTCATGCAAAGATTACATCATAAATTATACACGTTTACACCACTGCACGTAGGTGAATGAAATTTGATATGTTCTTTGTAAGAAAAAAATGTATGACAAAAGATTTTTTTCTTTTATTTTGATTTATTTTTTAAATCGACGAACAAATCGATAAAACAAACATCTTTTAGAAAATATAAAGCTTAAATGATCATTTATATTACTTAAAGGTTAAAAACAAAATAAATCATACAGGACAAAATATTCAAAGAAAGCTTTTTTTTATCGAATAAAGGAGAGATTAACAAAATAATTGATCTTTTTTTGCAAGCTGCAAAATGTTGAAAATAATTTTAGAAAGGTTTCAACTGTTCGCAAAGCTACTCTTCTCTTCTAGAAGAAGAGACATGGTTTGTCACAGAAATTCTTTTACAATCAACTTTTGATAAAGTTCAACGCAAAAAATCGTAAATATTGTCTGATATTTAAACAATTAAAATGAAGCAACATTACGTTGAATCATTTTCAGAATGATATCTTTAATTTTTAAACTCAAAACAGTGAACTATTAAACGTTTCTTTTAATATTTTTCATTTACATTTCACAAAGCTAAATGTGTTTCAAAGAAACATCAATATCAATGTTAATTTTGTTTCGGTTTCAGGTCAGCGAGACCAAAGAAGAAGGATAAAGAATTATGTAAAGTAAATTTCAGTAACAAAATAGTGCCAAATTATTTCTTTGGTGTACGACTCAAATAAGAAAATAATTGTTAATATGTCATGACATTTAGATATGATATTAGAGTTCTGTCCATTTAAGACAAAAAAAAAGAAGACCTTTTTTATACATAGGCCAGAAACAAAGCGTAGAAATGGTGCATTAATGTATTACCATTCCATTATATAATACCAAGGCATTTTATATGTTAATTGACTTAATTCATATAATGTGTATGTATATCATCTGAAATGATCCTTCTGTGGTATACTTGGATTATTTCCTTTTGCATTTTTATACAAGGACCATTGCGTTCAAAATAGCAATCACATCAAACTAAGCAAACTCATGTTTTTATGAAATGAATATTTATTTGTATTACATATAACAGGATGTAATAAATTTATTTAAAAAGACTGATTGGAAAAACAAAACATTTTGTTATACATTTTTATTTTTTATTCGTAAAATTTGTTTAAAAATTGCGATGGAAGAGTTTTTGAAGAGTTCAAGAAGTTTTCTTCCCATGTAATGTTTCTGTGACATGGCACATTAATTTTTCAGGCAAATCAGCTGCTATCTGAAAGGAAGTAGAGAAGCAATTATACATTGATATCCAGGGCAATATAAAACAAAACAGTAGGAAAATCTCCATTGATAATAAAATCGTCTCTGGTATTTTGAAGAAGTACTAGTATTTTGTAGATAATGAGCAATGATTAACCTTGCAATCGTGTTAGCAGACTTTAAATCGAAAAAATAAGGCAAGCATGGACCTTGAAACATCAGAGACGGAATTAGTGCCAAGAGTTGCCAGAAACATTGAAATATATCAGATGCCATGTATTCTGTTAATTTTTTTTTTTGGTTTGCCGTGAAGAAGGAAGATTAAGTTATTTTTACTATAAACATAAATGAGCACATATTCATGTTTGAGTCGATTACCGTAATTGTTTCATCTTGCAGTATTTAATATTTGGCATATTAGTTAATCTGAATATGGCCTATTTGAGAAGATCAAATTTTTTCTTTATTATGTTCTTGGTTCAAAGTCACTTTTCGAGGGATTCGGTATCTAATCTTTATTTTCATGAAAAAGTTTCTGTTCCTACTTGATACCCCTTAAGTTCATAATATATTTTTGCTTGCATTACATATAAATAAATTATTATGTAGCTTTTGGATTTAGAATTGTTTAATTTGCTAGCTTGCTTAATGTTCTATGAAACATTCTTTTATTTGCTGTGTGTTAGCTACATGTTTATAAAACATTGAATACTTAAACTAGTCCAATTCTTATGATCTCAAAATTAGGCTCTGATCAGTAATTGAAAATGTTCATCTTGCGTATCGAATCAACTGAGATATATAAACTCTGTATGCAGGTGAGGAAGGAATATAGCTGCATAGATAAGGGAAGGTGACAATAGAAAAGTAAAGTCATCACGTTTAACATAGAGCTTGGTTGTTAGATTACCATTAATATCTTTTTAAAGTAAAATATCTAAGTATGAAACAGATTTGTCAGAATCTGTGGTATTTTTTTTTATTTCAAGCTCCCCAGGATATATCGTATCGAAATAGGAATGGAAATTACCATTGTTAATTGAAAGTACATATTATACTTGTATAAGGAGAATTAGTTAATCAAAACATAACTTTCCAGGTAATGTGAAACACCTATACATTTTCTAATTGAAAGTTCATAAACAAATACATTTTAGGAATAAAAATCATAGATATCCAAGCTATTGAAAAAAAATTGCATGATCTTCATTCTTAAACGGTACTTTAGCTTCTTTTTACTTCAATCATCTTATAATGCATAGTGTATGAAGTGTTTTCTGTCATAGTTAAACATAGTTGCAATAATGTATCCCTCCAATTTTTTTTCTGATATTTTCTGGAGAGGACTACAATTCCACAGCATCTCCGTAATGGTGCAAATATATTTTTTTTTAAATCCGGGCGACTGCAGGCAAAATAAATTGTTTTACATTCAACTTACTTCTAGTAAGACGACAGTTTTATTCACTGTCAAATTCTCATTGACTGTCCCAAAATAAAATCTATCAAGGTCAGTAAACATGACGGATAAATTCAAGTTCTGATGTTGACAAACACGAAAAATTACTGATATGTGGATCGTTATGAATATTTTTCGATCGATTTATATATGTCTTGCATAACTACATTTTGGGAGTTCGGGTAAGAAATGTTAATTAAATAGCCATTTTCCGATAATTTAAGCTGCAGTCTGTGCGAAAGTGAATCACTCAGATAAGTAAATCAACCTAAATCACTTCGGATTTCACATCATGATTTTTTAAATATGTAATTTGTAGGATATCTGATCCTCAGCCAGGAAGGATAACTCTTTAATTCATAATTTTATTCAAAAGTATCAAAATAAAGCTCGAAATTGAAATCTTTTCATGCAACAATTTTCATTTTATGCCTCTCAATGTGACTCAAGGTTCTTTGAAATTTAAAGAAACGATATGAAAAAAATTTATATTTGCACCTCATAAAAGTAAGTAAAAACGATATATTTAAAGATATCGGAAGTTCTTTTAATCTAGCCTTAGTTATAAATGTTCATTAACAATGATATTAAATGAGAAGTGATTTATGGTGTTTTCTATGATAGGACACACTTCATACACTATACATTATAAAATGATCGAAGGAAATAGGAGAAACTGAAGTACCAAATAAGTATAAATATCAAACAGTTTTCTTCATTAGCCTGGAAACCTATGATTTTATTCTTAAAATGTATTAGCTGATCGATTATCAATAAGAAAATATGCTGTGGATAGTTCTATTTGCATTTCCTAAAAATTATTTGAGATTTACTAATTTGATTAACTTTAAAGATGAGGTTTTAAGAAACACCCTGAGTAAATATACATTACTTTGAGAATTTAGAGACATCTCTGAGCATTTTCAATTACTCAATGTCTGATTTTCAGAACCCGAGGATCGGACCACACTAAAATACTTTTATGGGGTACAAATATCAACTTTTTGTGATATGGTAACTAAGAACTTCAAAGAACCTTGAATAATTGAGAGGTTAAAATGAAAATTGTTGCATCAAAATATTTCAATTTCAAGCTTCATATTTGTACTTTTTGATTTAAAATGTAAATTAAAGAGTTATCCTCCATGGCCGAGGATCGTATATTCTTTAAAAATTTTATTCTGTTTTGCATATAAAAGGTAAAAGGTTGAGATAATAAACAGTTATGAATCTCACAGATTCAGAAAAGAATGCACATCGTGAACACCGTAAATTCACGAGCCTGTGAAAACATAAAAGATAACATGAGATGAATTGCTTACCAGGCAAAACTTTGTAATTCCACTATAGATAAGTTAATACTTGCTGCAAACAGGCTTTATATCTCTGAGTTGATTAGATACACAAAAACATGCTCTGCGTGTGAACAATTTTTTAAACGAGGTTATTTATTGAAAGGAAAGTTGATGAAGCAAGAAAATCAACAGTCTCGTTTCAAAAGCCAATGTTTCGTAAGTTCAATGGCCGATATAATGATCCTGTCAGCAAATACAATTTATCATTAAGTAAATGCTGACTTACTTTTATCATACTTCCTGGTAATTGCTGAGCAATTGTTTATACACCGAATTTTCTACAGATTTTTTTCGTTATATTCCGGCCATGAGAATTAGTATAGGCGACGGATGTGACCGGTTGGTAAGGGGTGCTCACTTCTCCATGGCACCTGATCCTATCTCTGATGCTTTGGAGATCTGTGTTTGCTCTGCCCCAATTTTATATTTTTTATGGACTTTTGGGTTGAATACTGTTCGTTATCTCCATATATTTCATTGTTATAGAGAAAGTTGTATAGTTATTTTGTTGGATAGAAACAGCTATATTCAGGCTGTTATTCACCTTTAATGTAAAAGTCATTTTGTTTGAAAGACCCAACTACATTTAAGTTGTAAGTTCACCATTTACATCTGTAGTCGGTAACTATCGAAATGTGATGCAAAGTGACCGACTCTGTAATGTCTATTATTTTGGTTTAACTGAAACTTCTTTGAAAAGTTTGATTTTGACATTATATGCTTTATGACATTTATTCCAATTTCTTGAAAAATGACAAAAATAATTACAGAATCTTAAAAAAAAATTCAAAATTGTTTTTAAAGGTAAATTAAGTTAGTTAAGAAAGATCGGAGCATTAATACAAAGTAATGAATACACTACGTACTTGGCGTGGTTGACGGCGTTGCAGTTGGCTGAGCGCAGTTGAAGTTATCCCAGTTGATGATGTTGTAAGATCCCCCGGAGTAGTCACAGTAACCTCCATAACACCAGTCCCCATCGTGGCCAGACATTTCCGGAATGTCCCCAGGAGGGTAAATCTTCCCGTTATACTCACAACCAACTACCGGTGGCGGTGTAGTTGAAGCACTTGCAACTTGAATTGCATAGCAGGAGAGCAACACAAATAAGAAAGCAAACTGCATGGTCATTTGTCTGCCGGTGTCTCTAGTTTTTGCGTTGTATTTGTGGAAGTGCTAGGTACAGTGAGAAATCAGTAAGTGATTTAAAAATTTGGACGTGTTTTTTAACATCCTAGAGTGGAGAAACATCTGTCGTTGTGATAAATCTAGATGTCGGACAATGAGTGGTTGATGACTGTATGAATGTTCATTATGACTTTAATCAATACGTCATATTGGGCTGTCAGGCAACCATTGCCCGAATCAGTTCGTTATATAAAAAATTACCGCGATCTCTTTAAATTAATTTAAACATTTTGACCTTTTCAGTTTGAGAATGCTAGAAAAGTGTTAATATTTTTGTTTACATTTTTTAATGCGTTGGTTTTTTTTAGGTTTTACTTACTTTTTAAAATTAATTAATTACACTGTCCATTTATAAACTCTGAAGAATTGTATTTTTGCAGGATAAATATTTTAAATTATTATCATTTCATCATCAATATGTCAACATGCATGATAAATATGTAGACATGTTACTTATTTATGTCAACATGCAAGAAAATTATGTCAACATGCGACTTATTTATGTCAACATGCAAAATAATTATGTCAACATGCGACTTATTTATGTCAACATGCAAGATATATATGTTGATATGGCAAAATATAATAAATAATGACTACATAATTAACCTTCATGTTGAC